CGTGAGAGTAAGGTTGCCGGAGGCCCAATGCTTCCCCTCCCCCAATCCCAAAATCTCCAAATCCCTAATCCCCAAAAGGTCAGCAACGCGCTTGTAACTCCTCCGTTGTTACAGGTGTCCATGAGCGGCGCTGATTGCTTTCCATCAGGTAATATACTTCCTCGTTTGTCGACTTTTCAAATAAAAAAATGTTTTACAACCGCAACAGAAGTTTCATGACGCATATCTGGATCCAAATATGCGTCAACACTTTCAAATACATAAAAAATAGAATGTAGGTACTTACGTATTTACCTACTTAATAAAAACATTCTTGCTTCATAATGTAGGTAGGTACTTACTTAGTACTTACCTAATAAAAATATTCGTGATTATTTTCCACAACTTTTACGTAGCGGCGTTTTAGAGAGGTATTAATTAGGTAGCTAAAATAAATTTGATTATAAGTATCTGATTCACAATTGGCGTATTTACAAATGCTACGCAGATACCTTTACTGACTAAAGCTACCCTTCTGACGGCAACTTCGTTAATGAGAACGAGAAAAGATGATGAAATAAACTGCAATATAAGAAGTCGCGTCGAAGATATTTCGCCGGCAGTATTTCCGAACAATAAGTACGATAGTACTATAAGTAGGTACCACAGTGTTGTGTTTCGCCGTATGAGTGAGGTTACCGGAGGCCCAATCCCTTCCCTTCCCGATCCTTATCCGCAACCCCTATTCCCAAAATGCCGGCAACGCACTCGTAATTAAAGGAGTTTAGTGTTGCGGGTGTCCACGGATGGCGCCGATTGCTTACCATCAGGTAATCCGTCTGGTCGTCTTCCGACTTATGCCATAAAAAAACGCGACCTACAAACCTTCTAGAAACGAGCGTACTTATTCTAAAAATGTCGGCAACGCGCCCATGACTTCTCTGGTGTTGCAAGTGTCCACGAGCTGATCACTTACCATCAGGTGATCCGTCTGCTCTTATGCCTTCTATTGCATAAAAAGTATTTACATCAGCCGGGATTGCGGGGCAAGCGCAATGAGGAACCTAAGCCTCGGCCTGGAGCGAAAGGACCGGAGGATCTTTAGTCAGTATGAGTCTGGCACGTAGTAAGTAATTTGATGATTTTCCCTTGACAAAATAAAACTATACATGCATAGTATCGAACTAAAAATATATGTACTTCTCATAGATTTAATTAAAATTTTACGAAACACAATTGTCATACAACTTGCAAAGAGCGTTGTAGGAAAACCACAGTCTTGTTGGGACGACAACAAAATATATTAACTACGTACATTGTACTATTAGGAGGTATGACGTGACATACAACGCGTTTACACAGGAATCCCATGTTACGTTAACTAATAAACGAAATGTTTCCGTCACAATTATCGCATGAAATTGTACGTAGAGCGAGGTCATGCGTTACGTCAAATAAATTTGTCATATCACCCCTAATGAGTTGAGGACTGATAGTAATATACACACTTACAATTAACTAAAAATCGCGGGTTACTCACGTTTAAATATTGAGAAAAGCTCTACTAGTTTCGAACCACAGAGGGGTTCTTCCTCATGAGCAGCGTGCGCGGACGCGGCGAACGTCGCGCAGCCTACTGACTAGTAGAGCTTTTCTCAATATTTAAACGTGAGTAACCCGCGATTTTTAGTTAATTTAGTATGTCTCACGATAGTTACTATAAAAACACACACTTACAATTATACAAAATAATAATAATAACGGGATTAATTCTTATTTTTCAGTGGGACGGCGGCTATCGAGCTTAGTATCAAATCAGAAATCAACGCCGCCCCATGGATACTCGCAACACCAGTTTTGGGATTTTGGGATTGGGGAGATAAGAGAGGGGAGAATTGGCTATCGGGTATCCTTATTCACATAGCAAAACTAACGCTATGTATTTTTCACACCGGTTTTCTTGTGAGACCTCCCACACTTCCTCGTAAAAAGTTAGTAGATTTTAAGATAGATTCCAGTTTAAAAATATTCACCCCCTCCCCCCCCCCCCCCTAGCACAGAGATATACAAGACCTATTTCTTAGGGTAAGTTAGCCATCTTTCAAAATCTTGAGACTTTTTCCCCTGTCCATGAATTAATCAATTAACATTTTTATTTATTACTCTTAATTATTTTAATATTATAAAGCTGCAGAGTTTGTTTGTTTGAAAGCGCTAATCTCCTTAACTACTGGTTCGAATTGCAATATACTTTTTGAGTTTGTTAGTCCATTTATTGAGGAAGGCTATATATAGGCTACACATCACTCTATGACCTGTAGAAACCGTCCAACGAGTGAAGCCACGGGACAGAAGCTAGTTTCAAAATAAAAATCTTTCCTTCCCCATTCAGTGGTAGAACCTGCCTACCTGTAACAATAATTCTACAAATTTACCATCAGTGCGCAATCAATATACCAACCTGACAATAATTATTTAAATTCCTAATTATTTCACTAAGAAAGAATCTATATAATATAGTATACCCCTGTTTAAATGGTAAATAACTCCAAAATTCCATTACGACACAAATATAACTGATAGATTTATACCAAATAAATTACCAAATTACTAAGAGATAAGAAAGAAATTTTGAAGTAAATTTAACGATTACGATACATTTTTATGTAAACAACACACACATAACTATGTATATGTACTTATGAGTACCTACGTAATAGTTTATTTACTCCGATGAGTGAAATATGAGTGATGAATAACTGATAGCAACCAGCCGTAAACCAATACCTAGTAGCATCTTCTGAACTTTTAGCAAGCTGACTGGAACTACTTAGTACTACTTACCAATTGACTTGGTTGACCTGCACGGTTGGCGCCGGTCGCTGGGCAACTGGCTGCTGCGTAACGTGCCGCGGTTACGGAACAACTCATTGTGTGATCCACAAATATTTGTTCCGGGTCTGAGTGTGATGTGTTTGTGAAATTGTATGTTCGTAAACGCACCCACCACACAACAGCAAATTCTAGTATTTCAATTTAAAAAAATCGCTTTTCGAGGGAATTCTTACATACCTTTTTATGAGGGGATAAAATCTTCCGTTTCCTTCTCCCGCCCTAGTTGGAGCGAGAGCCAGCGTCAAACTCTTACGGCCTTATTACAAAACAAGGTTTTACTTTAGTCTAGGACTAAACCATTGAGCCAGTTTTCGTATTTCGAATTGAAGGTAGATGACAATAAGATTCAAAATTCAAAACCCGACTCAATGGCTTAAACCTGGACTAAAGATAAACCTTGTTTTGTATTAAGGGGGTTACTGACTAAAAATCACCCCGTTCCTTTTCTTGCTTTAAGCCGTTCCGCAGTACATGTCTACAACATTTCGTTTGCACCTCACAATACGGCAAGCCCTGTCTTTTGAAGTTATGAGAGAGACTTTCTGGTTGAGCAGTGGAGAAATAAGAATCCAATGAAGATATTTAAAATATTGACTAAATAGGTTTTAGCACTAAAAACTTCTTCAGTTTTCACTACCTCCTTAGTAAAATAGCTACTAATCACTACATAGTATAAAACAAATTATCTTTCTCTGACCTTATAACTCGATATGCTTAATAATCCTTTAAACTATGCAACGGATTTTGATGCGGTTTTTTTTACTGGTAATGTAATTGAAGAAGGTTTATATGTAAAATAACATCCATTAAACAATGGAGTAATTTAGTATTAGCATTGCACCCGTTTGAAGCCTTACCGAGTCGGCAGTATCTACTTAATAAACATTTAAGTATATATGTACATATAGCACAAAGTTCATACAGATTACATTCTACCTAAGTATAAAAGTTACAAAGACCTTGTAAAACAGGCATTAGATAGATTTAATCTGAAACAGGATCAGCTGTTATCCTTGGGAAGGTCACCTGCCTCGATAGATAACAATTATCACATGTTTGATAACAAGTTATAGATATCCGTCTAATTTTGTCGCCAACTGTAAAAGTATTAGAAACATGTAACATGAGGTAATCGATCACGAAAGAACAGACCGATATACTTACGTATCTACGAGTACTTTGAACTTATCAAAATCTTTTTTAGTATACTTACACCCGGTTTCTGAAAGGCTTGTCAACGCTAAAATTAACTAATCTCCTGTTAAATCTCTTGTCAAGTCATCTGATTGGTTGTTGATAATTCAGTCAACCAATCAGATGACTTGACAAGAGATTAAATTGATTTCAACATTGATCGGCTTTTCGGAAACCGGGTGTTAATTGCAATTATAATATTATTCAGGTAAGTACATTTAGTAGCCATTCGATTTTTTGATATTTCTAATATCCTGATATGAAATGAAAACACACTAAGCATCTGTTTCACCTCCTTTATTTGTACTTGATATGTAATGTAGCACACAGTTCAGAAAAATTACATTCTATAGGTATTCAAATCTTTCTCTTGTAGTAGTAAGTAATCCTTATTTTAATAAACACAATACATTTTATGTTAGTACCTACATCACAAAGACAGACATATTATAGGTATGTATGTATATGCCTAGTTATTTATGAGTTCTTGTCTCAATATTAATTGTTTAAATAAGGGAATGAACGAAGCAGCAACTTATAACTTAATGGGGATGTTTCATTTTACATGTTGTATTGTATTTTTCTTTTATTTATTTATTTTACTCAGGTCTGATTTTTCAATGGTTAGATAAAAAAATTAGCAGGGGAAAAATTATGTTGCTGTCGCGTCAGAATGTTTGTATAAGACAGGGACAGCAATAATTTTATTCCTCGGATAACATTTATCTGTCTAGTGCAAAATTAGCCCTTTGTTTAATAATTATTTTCCAACTTTTTCCCACTTATAGGTATCTACCTACAATAAGTCTGATAAAAATTTCTAACATAAATGTAACATTTCAGAATACCAATCGTCGCTACTTACCTATACTTCCTTACCTTACTCAACATTCACACAGACACAGGGCAATTGATAAGTTTATTGCTTCCTCTTATCTATGCATGATCTGTGGCACATGTTCAAGATGAAGATTCACGCATTTCCTATCATCCACGTTCTTGATCTGTGACTCGAGAGGTTTCTGAAGGTAATCGTTGCGTGATACACATTCGATACCGGTTAGCACGCCGCTGTCATGCCGAAAAAATCAGCAAATTTTATCAAAACATGATATTGGAGGCTTGTCTCTAATATTTTGTTGTTGTCTAACCATAATCTCGCTAATGTACCTTAATCAATAATAATGTTCTTCTACCTTTTGATAACGATAAAAGATATCAATTCGACTTTTGATCCGGTGTGATTGCATTTAAATAATATGATTAAATCAGGTGATGCGAATTCAACCCGTGACAATGACTTCATTAATTAAATAGGCGGAAATTTCACACGTCAACATATTCCAAGAGCGATATATCCTAACTGATTATGAGAAGGAATGCCGAAACATACCTACTCGAATGTGTAGAAGTGCAGAAACATATAAAATGATTTCGGAGAACTGTGTGTGTTATTGTGCTCTTTTGGGAACAAGCTTAAAGCTTGAGTGGACATGTTCCGAAGGCAGGCATTTATATGTCAACTAACTTTTGCCCGCGACTCCATTTGCGTGGAATACCTAGTGACTTCCTGCAAATTTTTGGTATAAAAACTATCCTTCAGTGTCCTTTCTCCAAACTACATATGTCTGTCCTAAATTTCACAGAAATCGGTTCAGTAGTTTAAGCGTGAAGAAAAGACAGACAGACAGAGTTACTTTCGCACTTATAATATTAGGTAGAAAGTATAGATTACAAGTAGCTGAACCAATGACTTTGTATTGAGACGGTAATATTATATCACGTGCCTACAACCATCAAAGTAACAACTTATCTCGCCGTGTAAATCCTAACCTTTCAATGAGACGATTTGTAAGCGGATTGAGGAGCCTAAGTCAGGCAGATACTGACGATACGATAGGAAATGAAAAGCACGTGAGTACCTTTCTGAATCACCAAAGAATTATGTTCTTATAACTTCGTACTTAAGCACTCCATGTATCATGAATCCAAGACTGATTCACTGATAATATAGACAACAATTTGACCCAACTGATAGGTTGACTGGTAGGACTGATTCAATGTTTAACAAGAAGACTTTTAGAACAGTCATTTAAAGGTGGAAGCGTTGTGTTAGCAAATTTAGAAATCTATTAAGTTGAATTTAATTGTCTTCGTATTTCCGGTAAACTCACTCACACGGCGAAACACAACGCTGTGGTTGTTTCACGCCGGTTCTCTGTGAGGCCGTGGTATCACTCCGGTCGAGCCGACCCATTCCTGACTAAGCATGGCTCTCCCATACACTTAAAGGTAATTAAGTAAATAAAAAAATGCAAGCAAATGGATACCTGTTGCTAACATTTTTATTTAATCTGTCAAACCACGTGAATCGGCTACATGTGTAGTGTAAATTATCGCCGTTGATAAGTACGAAAAATATAATTATTTTTATTTTTATTCTAGATTCTGCGAAGTCGGGCGTCAAATGTCAGCCGCTTCTACTGTTTACTGCAGATAATTATTGAAAGGCTAAATGCAGTACATGCTATTGTGTTGAATATTTATTTTAAATTATCTATTGCCATTTTAGATATAATTGGTAGGTACTATAAAGTTATACTAGCTTCAGCCCGCGGCTTCGTTTCTATGAGGTTATTATTTTCACGTAGCGTTATAAAAATATAGTTTTTAATATTCGGAAAAAAATTTCAAATTGGCTAGAGTTGTAAAGATATAATAATGAGAATATCGCTGTTATAGTTTCAGAGCGTAGTAAGGCGTAGCATAGCTATTTCGAAATGTTTTTCGTAGCATGGCCGAGCTACGGATTTTTTTCGTAAACACAAAGGTAACGAAAAAATAATCTGTAGAGTGTTAAAGTTTAAGTAGTAACGAACATGTACTTAAATTATATTCTTTAGAGAAATTGGAAGATATTACATTATTTAGTATTTTTTTTACATTGTGTCTACTTTAAGAGACTGACCAATGAGTTCGTATTAACATTTCTTTTCTCTGGGAAAGGCCGGCTATGAAGCCGGCCTTTCCCTTCTTTATTTTCTTATATACCCAAGTACCATGTACTACTTATGAATTTTGACGTTTAAAAGTACTGTTTAATGTCCTATTTGCAAAAATTAAATTTTGTTTCATTGGTTGTAGGTACAGATAGGTATCAAGTGTGAATAAAACGCTAACCAAATTTATTTTGCACCACATTTACAGAGCTAGTTTATTTATTTTTTTAAATAGTTTAGGTAGATAAGTACTTTGTAGTGGCGGTTGTTGTTTATCAAAAAAATTACTTACAAATAACAAATAGGAAAAATATTTCTCGTAATTGTGTAATAACAGAAACAAGTTATTGCCACGCAATAAATAACGAGTGTCGTACTCGAGGCACAATTAAAATTTCGCAATCTACATTGTAGCGAGCAGATAGCATTGCTTCTAGAAAAAAATACGATGACTAATAATAATACAATATTTTTTTAAAACAATTGTGACGAACGAATTGTAAGCTATTTAATGAAGGACTATTTAGGACCCGGATTGCGGATTAACCGCCTAAGTAACCGGGCACCGCGGCCTCGGTCTAGAGTAGGACACTCCCTCTCTCCCAACCCAAGTCGGGAGAAGTCATTTTGATGATTTCTTCCCCTTCTTGCATTACGGCACATCGTCCTTAATTTAAGTGGTCTACGCGTTACGTAGATACCTACGCACTAAAACACGGTTAAAACGTTTATTATATAAAAAATAACAATTAAACTTGACGCACGCAGATTACAGCTGACGTCCACACGTTTATTTAAAATAGTGGACCTTATATTTTGTTTTTTATCATTATGTAACCAGCTAGCAACAAACAGCACGCGAAAACCAGAAAAATCTGATGAACTCATGAACGATTCTGTTAATTCGCTCATCGGAGATCAATAGGTGGCGTAGCGACGTTGATAACAAAAAAAACATCTTATCTTTGAAAATAATAATTAAGTTTGTGTCTGACCTTGCTATCCGTAAGAAACCATACGTTATCAATGTAAAAGGCTCCTTATCAGCACAGATAGGGCCGCAAGGGACGTAATTTCGATAAAATTATGACAGTCAATTAAACTTTCCATTCAGATTTGTGAGTTTCATAAAGTCTAAAATCGCTTGAGAACGAGGAGTAGGATTCTAAGTAGTGTTGTCGTCAGTTGTTTGCCGTGGAATCTTCCCGCGCTGTCGATAACCCGCGTTATCGCGCAGGCGGCGCCCGCGCACGAGACCGCGCCTGTTCTTGCAGTTATTTATAATTTATAATCAAGAGGATGACACAATTGTGGCAAACAGTGGTCCATTGGTGTGCCACGTGCTGCCTGGTGCATGCGCCGGCGTGCTGGCACGGACGAGTGATCATGCCTTATCTACACCGGTAGGATCTGAAGTTTATCATTTATGTATGTGTTTAGATTATTATAATAAAGATACCTCCTATGCATAGGTACATATTATCGCAATAAAATGTTTCTTTGATAATCTACCAGGAAGTGAGAGGTAGAAATGTGGTTTATCAGTCAAGTTATTGCCTCTTCTGAAGGTTCTTAGCTGTGATTGGTACCATATCGGTAAGTATTTTATTTATGAGACTGCTTTCATTTAAATTAGTCCATTCACTAAACGTCATGTGCAGGTACTTACTTATTTCTAAAAAGTTGACTACCACTGAAAATTATCCTAATAGCAATAGTGAACTTAATGGAAATAAAATGTAAAAAAATAAACATTATTGTAAGAAAATAAACAAACCGGATATAATCCCAAACATCTAGTAGGGATTGCCCTAAAAATCGAAATTCGGTATTGGCCCATTATAATACAGGACACAATAAATTATCACTCACTTTGGTAAAAAAGGGCTATTCTGTCTTTAAAACAATAACTTTCAAAGAGTGTTCGATTTTTGTGGGAGGGATTCCTTTTATGTATTCTCAATCTCTCAATCGCAATTGATAATTATGAAAGCGAGAAGGAGTGTCCCTCTTTCTAACTAAATACCCGTTTTTTGGTGTCGATTTAGAAAATCCACCGCCCTCGGGGAAGAGCGAAGGGTACTGTCAGACTCTGACTAAAAACCAACCCGGTGTTCTTCCATTTCTACAAGTGTCGAAGGGGCGGGTATCGCCGAAGCAATCGTCGCATCCCCCCGACGGGTATTGGCCCGCCAGATAGCCAGGGGGGCCCAGTTGCCCAGTCATCCACTGCGGCCCTCACCCCGACCGCAGGACTCCACTGTGATGCGCGCGTGCGGAACACGACGCCGCCCGCCTCGAGGCCTGCTGCTTCTCGGACGACAAGACGCCCCGAGTCTGTCGTCCGCAGGCCGCGCCCTACGGTGGCCACTCTACGAACGTTCTAACTAAATACCCACCCGTTCCTTCTCCTGCTCCAGGCCGAGGACGCGGTACCTTATTGCGCTTGACCCACAACTCAAGCAAAAATGTCCCTTTTATACAAAACTTATCAACAATAATGGTGTAATAAAATACATATTTATATCCATCCGATATTTATATAGCCCATAAAGATTATTATGATTAAAATCTATTCTATTTTAAGAATATTGAGTAAATATATTCTGGCATGTTCTGGGCGTATCGCTAGTGCGTGATTGTTGACAATTATCTTATCAGATAACGTCAGTGTTTCTAACCGCTAATTGTTATCACTTGCCTAGACTTTGAAATAGAAAACAGCTGTTTATCTTGCGATCACGAGGTGTGGTGTTCTATTCTAGGCATGGATCGAAATTCTCGCTTATCATACTTATTCACTGAGTAAAATATGTACTTACAGTTTTCGTAATTCAAAAATCGAAGTATTACCTACGACGGATTTGATGAAGAGACATTCAACTACACGGTTGTATTTTACCTTTCCAATAAAAGCCGTATTATATATGTTTTACTTTGTTATTATATGTATATCATTAATTGCACTATATATAATATAGCAGTGCAGGAAACACCTGTAAATTACTCGCACGATAACATGCAAGCACACACACAATGTGCAAATGACGTTTACAATTCTGCTATCATTAATCATGTGACAATAAAATCTAAACAAACCCTTATCAAGAACTCCAAACAATTTGTAACGTTTAATAGGCCAATGTTTTAATAACGGAGTACACGGAGATAGTAAGTACGTGTACAATTAAACATTAATCGCAGACCTATCTCACAAACATTACGACACAGACGGGGTCATCGAGGAAATAAAACAACGTTAACATAATTACGCCGGTTTTATTCCGTTCATTTACAACACTTTGTATCTAGCCTTGTTTATCATGTGATGAGCGGAGGTTTGCAGTTTCAGGAGTTCTTCCTTAATGAGGCGCGTTATTTCCGACTTGGCTTTAGCGACAGCAAGTTCTTGGGAGCTTTCTATAGCGAGGTACAGCTTGCGTTCTCCCTCTGGCGGCGTTTTACCCGGCGGGACGTAGGTGCCGCGCACAGTGATACCCGCCTCCGAATACTCGCTGATCAACGCTAGCGCCTCCTATAATCAAAACAACAATTGTTAATGAACTAACACATCAGATAAACCGCAGAATGATGAAATAATTATCTCTTTGTAACAGAACAAATCCACTAAAATCCGTTAAAAATACTACGCATTACAATTTGATTTGTACGTGTATGATTTTTTGAAATTTAATTATAGAGGATTTAATTTTTACTAATTATACTACTCTCATCATTGCCATAATTTAAAATGAGATAGAAATTAAATGTAACATTAAAGTTAACAATAATTACTTAAATATTCTATCGACTACTAATATCTACGTCTGATTCTAACATTAGCGAGCTTGTATAGCATCCTGGCAACATCCGAAAAGGGAGATGCAAGAACGCTTGGCTTAAAGGGCTTGTACCCAGGCCATAAACTCCAAAAAAAATGCAAGAACGCTATTACATTCTCCGATATGACCATACACCATAGATAGTTAGTTATTACCTCGGCTATATCTAGTGACAGTAAAAGCATTTACTGTACACCTTCTGTCTTCTAAGGAGTTTGACACAAATAAATATGAAGGCACCAATTATCGCAAGTTTTAGCAACATGTTGACAACTAATCTCGACGAAAAGAGAAATTGCACTGAGTACTAAGTATTCGTTATAATGCAAGTACCTACGGTAGGGTTATCGGTGCAAGGTTAAAACGACCCCTTCGTAAACAAATAGAGTGTAAATGAGGTTATTTACTTTTAATAAAAAAAATCGATTAAAGCAAGGTGACA